TCCGGCTATATAAAAATAACCGGTTTCCCTGAATCCCTTCACTAAATATTACCCTGCTTACACTCCAACAGCTTGTCAGGTCCCAAATACATTGGTCTCCATTCACTCCTATCTAACACGTTCACGCACGCCTGCTGGAAGTCCAAGCTCTCAATCGATCCTTATGCACTAGATTACAGTTTACCCATTCGCCCATTGTGTCTAACGCCTCACAATTAACCCCCACACTTTTACCATTCTTCTCGTACCACGCATCCACATAACAACCCATACCCTCTGTTGACGAAAGCACCTGCCCTGACGATATCCCTGGCGGGATATCGTCAGGGCAGGTGCTTTCATCACCCACAAACCTCCTTTACCCCCTCCCTCCAACCTTTTCGAGGACGACCCCTACCCCGCCTTCCTTCCCCTACAGATTTATATGCTCTCCATGTCATTCTACTTTGATCCATTCTCTCTAAATGACCAAACCACCTCAACAACCCCTCTTCTGCCCTCTGACTAATACTTTTATTAACTCCACACCTTCTAATTTCTACACTCCGAATTTTTTGCATAATATTTACACCATACATTGCCCTTAGACAGGACATCTCAACTGCCTCCAACCGCCTCCTTGCTGCAGCATTTACAACCCAAGCTTCACACCCATATAAGAGTGTTGGTACTACTATACTTTCATACATTCCCTTCTTTGCCTCCATAGATAACGTTTTTTTTGTCTCCACATATCTCAATGCACCACTCGCCTTTTTTCCTTCCTCAATTCTATGATTAACCTCATCCTTCATAAATCCATCCGCTGACACGTCAACTCCCAAATATCTGAAATCATTCACTTCTTCCATGCTCCTCTTCTCCAATTTAATATCCAGTTTTTCTTTATCTAAATCATTTGATACCCTCATCACCTTACTCTTTTCTATGTTCACTTTCAACTTTCTACCTTTACACACACTCCCAAAGCTAGAGTGATATTGTTTAATAAATAGAGAGTAAGAGAGAGAGAGACAAAGACATGGGGATATGTAGTCTGATGGTAATAGAGGGCACCAGAAGATGATCCTGAGTATGCATGACCACTTAGCCCCATTACATTCAGTCAGCTCAGCGAGTTGCAGGACACAGTGGTTTGAGGGTGCTCTCATCTCTCATGGTTTTTAACAGTTAAATCTGTGGCTATTGACCAATCTCTACCAAAGAAATGTTAAGCTTTCCATACATACATAAAATGAACATATGCACAGTGTGAATGAAGTTGGTAAAAACTAGCCAAGAAAAAAAAAATATATATGATTCAACCAGGTATACTACAGACAAATACCCCATGCAATGAACTGAATCTTCTGTGTAGATGATGCTACTGAATGGTCCCCATTATAGCAGTCTCACCAAGCCTTTGTCTAGAGAAATTTTTTTTGTCTGTTTTATTTGAATTCCGGTGTATAAGATCCTGTTACACGAAGATTTTATTGTGTTCTTGGGTGGTAGTGATCAGGTTATATGCAGGTTTAATGGCCTTTCTCATAGTCAGTATGTTTTAAACCGAATTAACCAACCAATAAAATCTGACTAGAATTTCCGGTTTGCCAGGGCTTTGTGAATGGATCCAGACTTTTTGGGTTAATGTGAAAATCCATCAGGAGAGAATGTTAAAGACTGGAGCATTGCTCCTTATCCCTGTCACTGTCTCTCACAGCACCATCAACTACGCTGTGATTGATAAATTTTGGCTTAGATATGAGAGAATGGGTCTGTCTGGTAGGTGTGCACACTATAATAAAAATCCTGCCTCACTTGATAAAAACAGCTAATCTCTGACCTTGTGTTTGATTTAAAATGGCAACTAAGGCATTTTTTAGGGTAGTTTTCATAATTTTCTTGGCTGTTTCTTGGTATTAATTGATATAATGGAAGACATTCTAGTGAAATGGAGATGATTTTGGCTGGTTTCAGACCAGAAGGGGCCTGAAATAGGCCTCAAAGTGGCAGAAATATTAGATTTTCAGCAATTTTCCTGAGGGAGAGTTAGGACCCCACTATTTCCCCGCAGTCTCTTTTATGGAATGTTTTCAAGGTCTGCTTAAATTATTAGGATGGCATAAACCATGACCAATCATTCTTTGTTATACTATTTCATTAATCTGAGAAAGAGGGTAAAACTTTTATGTGTGATGATGGATTCAAATTGAAGGGCAAATGTTATGTGGGAGATGCCTAGGGACATGTCTGAGGAACAGAGAGAATGTTTAATTTTTACTCTGTTTTTAAATTGGAACTTGGTGAATTTTGTGTAAAAAATTGGTATAGTTACTGAGTTCTGCCCGCTTTAGAGGGTAATTCTGATAGTTTAATGGGAAGTTTCTTGTACATAGTTGATAGAATGGAAGGCATACAAGCAAAATAGCCAGGAATTGGGGTCAGTTTGAGCAAGGTAATTTGCCTAAAACAGGTCTTAATGTGGGTGAAATTGCTGATGTGTAAATTGTGGCCAGATTGCCAACTTTGCACCTGTATAATTCCTCGAGTTTTCCATCAAATTTTGCATTTTTGGTGTTGTCATCTTTGGAAAGAGGTTCTCTTCCATTTTAGAAGATAAATTTTTTTTTATTTAATTACAACAGTGAAAGGTGTACATTTGTCATTATCTTGTACATTATGCTGTTATTATTATATAGTTTGTATGACTGTCGACCAGTGAAGAGTGTAAAGGGGAGTGGCCAAGGTTGGTCCACCCCTGCACTCATTTTCTAAACACTGTAATATATACAGCCTTTTTGTCTGGCACATAGAGAAAGATCTCCAATGAAAAAAAACCTTATATCCACAAGAAGGCTGGTTTTTCCTTTTTATAAAAGGACAAATTATTTGCCCTTAAAATTACATAATTCAGCATGGTACACCAAAGACTTAGCATCTGTGTACTGTATATTGATAGTGAGCAGGACTGAAGGGAATGAGGAGATCTGCACAGCCAGAAGCTTTGAGATTGATGTTAGTAACAATAGAGTATCAAAATACAAATAGCAAAGTTATAAACACTGTTAATCTTCCATGTCCTAGCATTATAAAACAGTTAAAAAAATATCTACATTAGAGCAGGAAACGAAGCATTAAGAAGTATTCTTCATAAACTATCAGAAAACATAATCATCTAGGTCAAAGAATATTAGGTTTCCTCTAAATATGAGGAAAGATTGGAAGGTGAGCTCTACTGGGGTTGTTGAGGATGCTGTGAAACATGACAACAGGACAAACTTCTGAATTACATTGAAGACTACAGTCACTTGGGTCAGAGTTTATACTCAGTTGACCCTTGACTTTTGCCAGTTCTTCCATCCACTTCATGGTATGCTTGGCCACAGCCAGTTTATTCATATCTACTAAAGCTGCATGCAGCATTAACCATCACCTCAGCAGGAGGCAATGGCAAAGCAGTATATTCAACATGCTCTAAAGTTAGGCATCATCTCTCAGATGGTAACGTGTTCTGGTCATTAGCCATTAGATGGACAGCATTATTGTGAGCCACCAGTAACAATGGACATGACATCATTGGGTGATAGAATGCCATGCTCCAGACAAAATTTTTATGGCTAGCTACTGTTGCATAGTCAGTGCAACCTTCACAGATGTTTCTCACTAGTATCCAACAGACCCCAGGACAAATCACAGTGCAAGAGTACTGCTGGAGGATCTTGCAACATCAAGAGCACTACTAGAGGATCTTGGAACATCAGAAGCACTGTTGGAGGATCTTGCAATGTAGCTGACATCCTATAAAGAGAAAGAACATGCCATTATGCTGATCCACATAAGTAGCACAAGGTTTCTGCTGTGAAGAGCAGGATGTGTGAGCAACCTGATGTGAGAAATTGACAAGTCTGTTATTGGCAGAATCTGTAAGGTTGCAAAATGAGAAAAGTAACGCAAATATTCTTTTTTCTGTTTTGAACCATTTTCCTGGATAAACTGAAAAGTCATCCCATTTTCATCTCTGAATAACAACATTAGGTAAATCTGCATTGTGTGTGTGAGCAGTAAAGTAAGCGTATTCTGGGGTAATTTGGCCCCACAAGGCAGAGAAAAATATATTTTATCGAATAGACCACTTTTCTTTAATTATATTAAATGGCACCACATGCATTCATATTCCTTATATATTATCATAACTAAAGCTTTTAAAGGACTGGTTAAAAGGATTAATATGTTTATTCATAAGTAAATAAATCCTGAGGTAAATAGTAACAAGACTAAGTTATGCTACACAGTATAGAGTATTATTAAAAGAAAAAATAATATATTTTTATAATTTGACATTTTTAATAATTGATACTGTAAATTTGTCTTTGATGCATTGGGTTTCTGAGTAATTATCAACTTGCTCTTACAATCTACATGATCTCTTTACTAATATAATACAATTCTGTTTTTTCTTTTGTCTTCACAAACAAAATTCAGATTTGACACTTAATAATATCATTTTAATTTGTTTAGACTAGTCATTATCTTCCAAGGCAGTGACACAAAGAAAACATGTTAACTAATGGAATTTGTATACTGAATATACATTTATCAATCTACCCTTTTATATTTAATTAATACAGCACTCTTTGTATATACGTTTGTAGTGGATGCATTTGGGAAGATGTAATATACAGTACCACTCCTTCAAAGCATGTACCAGTTAGCACTGGAGACTTCAAAGCATGCACTAGTTTAGCAATGTATATTGTTCAGCTTTGTTGGCTCCTGATGCTGGGCTGCAGCTGTCATAATGATACTCAGTAGGGTGAAAATTGGGACATTCGATATACCATGGCAGGGCTTTGACAATATGATTGGCAAAATACTGCTGTTAGTACTCGGCAGTATGGTAAGGTGCTATGTCATGCTGGTACAGGTAAGGGGCCACAACATAGGACTCTTGTCAATGCTGGTAGGACTGCAATGTCTAAAATACGACTGTAGGACCATGCATTCATGTTCCCTTGCAGTATGACCAACGGATCAAGCCCATACCACGTAAAACAACCCCACACCATCATGCTGCCTCCTCTACCCTTCATAATCATGATGAAGTCAGCTTTGAAGCATTCCTCAGAAGCTCACCACATCCAGGTTCTACCATTGGACGTCAGCAATGTGCAGCATGATTCATCACTCAACATTATCCCTCATAGCTGCTCATCACTCCAGTGTAGGTGTTCCCTACACTACTCCAGCCTCTTAAAATTGATGGGTGTTCTCAAGGGGTTTTGGGAAATTACTGTGCAGTATTGCCCCATCCAGTGTAACTCTCACCAGAATACTGTATGGACAGACATGCCATAATACCACTGCCATCGTTGACTTCCTTCGTATTCTTTACAGGGGCACATCATTCATTCTTCATACTTGTTTAGTCACTTTTTTGTCATCCTGGTTCTGGTACCATATTTATGCATCCCTCCCATACACTAGGCTTGCAAAATTCCATATTTTTGACCTCATTGATATGGTCTCCACAGTAGAGCAAAAAGACACGCAAATAATGTTGCCTTCAACTACCTTTATTTTTTCAAACTCCATTAGCTTTTCTGCCCAGGATATAGTACATACTTGTAACATGCAGTTACAACCATGTATATGTGCAATTATAATGCTGAACTATCTGTTGGGGTTTTGACATGAGAAATGAGGTAGAAATGGTGCTGTTTAAAAAATTTTGGTACTGTTTGTATATTTTTTAAATTTATTGGCTGCTGCCATTAAGGCAGGCTAGGCAAAAGAAGAAAATTACATCTTTTTGAATATTAATTGCATAAAAAAGTAATTTACCACATGTTACTGGCTATCTAGTCATTTTCATGGCTAAGAAAACCGCTTTCTCCATGGGGGTCGATTAACAGGCTTGGGGAAGTCAAGGTGATTGGTGTTATGTCGAATGTACGTAAGAGATGTTAGAATTAGTTTGGCATCTTAATGTTTTGAGATGAAGAAATAATCAGTAATCTTACCAGGTTGCAAAACCTTCCAAAAGACTTATTTTATCACTTATAAAACAAAACAGTAGCACATCCCTAGATGGTTGCTTACTACTAACCTCCTACATACAAAGTATGTGACATGAGTTTTAATCAGAATTTCCTGACTTGGCTTACTCAACAGTGGTCATCTTGCCAAGTAAACTTACCTAATATAGTGATTTCCCATTTAGAGACTGGGATACATTCCAAAGAAATTGTCTGGTAAGCAGTTTTTATATTAGACCTCATTGTCCCACAGAAATGCTCTGCATTACCATGGGCTTTTCAAAGTACTGTTTATTCAGCTGTGTAACAGTTATGTATTTTTGGAAAGTAAAATTATTATAATTATTGTTATAATTATTATTAATATTTTTACTTTTATTAATACGTATAGACATCTGGTCCGTCTGCACTTGTATGCAGGGAAGATAAAATTTCCAGCATGCTTTTCCTCTGAAGTGTAGATTTGATGGAAGTACTGTATCAGAGAGGCATCAGTAGCATTTATGAATGACTGTAACTAAGTAAATGGAGTACAATATGCACTACAGTAAATTTAACTATTTATGCAGAAATTTTTTGTTATTGTATAAGTGGTTTTTATTTTTTTTTTTTTTTGTGTGTGTGTGTGTGTGTTTATTGTCATTTGGTATAAACATGGTGTGGGCACTTTTTTTTTTTATTTTACCAAAACAAGTCAAGAAATCTTATTTTTTTTATTTTGGTGAGTTTGTAATTATTTTTAATTTTTTATTAGGTTTTTTATTTTAGTTAAATGCATTGATTTTTCATATACTGTACTTACCATAATTTGGTGTATGTAAAGTTTTTCTGTGGTAACAATTTATGAATCATTTTAAAGTTTTATATGTGGTTTATTTAGAAGTTGATAATAGCCATTACAAGAGGCCACTAAGCCGAGTGAGTACAGGTAGCCGTAAGTGAATTTGTTCCTATGTGTGTCCTTGTTTGCTTAGAGTTTAATACAGTACAGTATTTCATTAATATGATATTCTGGTGACAATCTTGTCTCATTATTGATTAAAGTTTCTCTCTATGTGAAGCGTTTAACATTTTGTCACAGTATATGTACATTTTCTTTGTGTGGCTTTTTTTACTTTCTTCAATTTCTCTTATACAATATTTTTTTTAACACTCTGGCAGTCTCCCACAGAAGTAGGGTGAAACTACAAAGAAAAAAACACTTTCACTGTCACTCACTCAATCACTGTTTTGCCAGAACCCTCCAAACTGCAACATCCTCACCCTTCCTTTAGAGTACAGGCACTGTACTTTCTACCTCTAGCATTCAATCTGGCTAATCAGTTTCCCTGAATCCCTTCATAAATGTTACCTTGCTCACACTCCAACAACATGTCATATCATAAAAAATCCATTGCCTCCACTCACTCCTATTTATGATGCTCATACAAGCCTGTTGGATTTCCAAGCCCATAGCAATCAAAATCTTAACCCCCTTCCTCCAACCTTTTGTAGAACAACCCCTACCCCTTCTTCCCTTCACCTATATTAATATCCAAACTGCCTCAACAACCCCTCCTCAGTCCTCCAAATAATATTTTGATAACTATACATTTCTTAATATCTAAAATCTGAGTTTTCTGTATAATGTTCATATTTCACTGACCTCAGACATAATGTCTCCACTGTCTCTAGCCTCCTTGTTGCAACAGTTAAAAACCCTTGCTTCACACATATGCAACAATGTTGGTCCCACAATAGTCTGTTACATCCCCCTTTTTGCCTTCCTGGTTAAAGTTCTTTGTCTCCATAGATGCCTCAATGCATCATAAACCTTTTTGCCTTCAACAGTTCTATGGTTCACTTCATCTTCCTTAGAATCATATGCTGACAAGTTCACTCCCAAATATCTGAACACAGTCATCTCCTTCATACTCCCTTGAATATGATATCCAGTCTCTCATAGCCTATATCTTTTGATACTCCCATCACCTTGCTCTTTCCTATATTCACTTTTAACCCTTTCAGGGTCCGTCCCGTAGATCTACGGCTTTACGGTGAGTGTAGATCTACGCCATGAGCTCAGCTCACTCTGATAAACTGTGAGTGGTACATTTGGGCCTAGATATGAGAGAATACATCTATGTGGTATGTGTGCACCACATAAAACAGATCCTGCAGCACACTGTGTATAATGAGAGAAAAAAACTGAAATCATGATTTTTCGATTAAAACAGCAACTTTGCAGTGTTTTTTCGTATGTTTTTTATAGTTGTATTTGCGATTTCTTGGTCTCATTTGATAGAATGGAAGACATATTACAGAAATAGAGATGATTTTGATTGGTTTTAACACTGGAAATGGCTTGAAACTGAGCTCAAAGTAGCGGAAATGTTAAATTTTTGCCGATATTCAAGAGTAAACAAACGACCTCACACATCTAATACACGTCAGCTGGTGGGTCTAATATACATTCACAAATATGGTGATGATATTTATACAATTATTACAGTATTGCATAACAGTAAATCTTCTATTTTTTGGTGTGAATAAAAATTCATTATGTGAATAAAAAATCAAAATGGAATTTATTAGTAAAGCCTCAAAACATAACTAATGAACAGAGGAAATGTTAGTTTAGTGCCAGGAATGCCTACATTGTGTATTCTGGACCCTATTTTGAAATTGGAATATTTTGAACTTTGTGTTAAATTGGCCAAATTAACAATTTCCGATCACTTTATTTTGTAGTTGAAACAGTTGACTTGGCGATTTCTTGTGCTCAATCGATAGAATAGAAGTAATACTAGTGAAATAGCTAAGAATTTGGTTGATTGGAATAATGTAATTGGCCTAAAATGGGAGTCAAAGTCGGCAAAATCGCCGATTCGTAAATATCGCTGACACATCAAAATTCGCGAGAACATAATTTCGTCAATTTTCCACCAAATTTCGTACTTTTTGTTTTATTACCTTCACAAAAATATTCTCTACGATTTCATAAGAAAAAAATAAAAAAATTTTTTTTTTTAAATTCTTGGACACTGGTGCGTGACTCCAGGTTTGGGCCTTGGACCCTGAAAGGGTTAATTGCCTTTTACATGCCCTCCCAAATTCGTTTACCAACTTTTGCAGCTTCTCTTCAGAATCTTGCAAAAGAACTGTGTCACTGGCAAAAAGGAACTGACAGCTCCCACTCTGTAAGAGATTCTCCATCTTTCAGTCCCAATGCCCTAGCTTTCACTTCTTTTACAACCCATTTATAAATATGTTAAACAACCAGTGACATCACACATCCCTGTCTAAGGCCTACTTTACTGGAAAATAATAATCCCTCTCTCCAACATACCCTAACCTTAACGTCAGCCTCACTGTCCACATAAAAGCTCTTTACTGCTTTAAATAACTTATCACTTGTTTGTAATATCTGAAGTGCTTCCCTATTCACCCTGTCATTTGCCTCACTTCGATCCATAAATGCAATGCAATATTCCTTATCTTTATCCAAGTACTGTTCACTTTTGTGACTCATTGTAAACACATCCCTACATCATACATCCGTATAGTAGTGTCCCTAGATAGTGATGATACTACACCTCAGAATATTTTTGTTTCATATCATTTCCATTTCAAACAGGACATTGCTCAGTCACTGTAATAGTTTGCCTTTTATCCATTTCTTAAATTCAAAATAAAGGCAATTCATCTATCCATTTCATACTTGAATAATTGCTGTAACACTTATCATAGTAGCTTAGCAAATTTTCTCATGTACAGTGGACCCCCGCTTTACGATCACCTCCAAATGCGACCAATTATGTAAGTGCATTTGTATGTGTATGTTTAGGGGTCTGAAATGGACTAATCTAATTCACAATATTCCTTATGGGAACAAATTCGTTCAGTACTGGCATTTGAACATACTTCTGGAATGAAATAATATCGTAAACTGGGGGTCCACTGTATTAGCCATTTTACACCAAAGCAGGGTAAACCATAGCAGAACATACATTCACTATCACTTATTTTTCAGCTGTTATTCCTTAAGTTTACAGACACCACAGTTCAAATGGCTCTAACTCAGGACATCCCTCCCTATTCTTCAGATTGCAGACAGTGTTTCCCACCCCTAGCACTCAGGTTTAGCTAACTGGTTTGCCTGAATTGAATATTGAAATGGTTTTGCTCTGATTATTTTAACCACTTT